AGGAAGATACCATGTGTTCAACAACCGTGACAAACAAAACCGCACACAAGTCAGTGAGCTGATAACAAAGATTGACACCATGGTGAAGAAAAATGGTGGCGACTACTACACCAATGAGATGCTGCAAGAGGCTGAAACTGCGATACAGAAAGAAATGCAGAGGATCCTGAAGGAGAAGGAAGAAGAGATGCAGAGAGAAAGAGAAGAACTTGAAAGGAAACATCAGGAAGAAAAGAAGAGCCTGCAAAGAAGAATGGAAGAACAGAGAGATGAAATTGAAAAAGAGAGAAAACAGAGAGAGCAGCAGCTTCAAGAAATGGAGAAAAACATCAAAAGATCTGAGAGAGAACAGAAGAAGAGAGAAGAAGAGCTTAGAGACGAGGAAGAAAAGAAAAGAAAAATGCAGGAAGAACGTCAACAACAGGAGTGGGAAAAAGAACGAGAAGCTCTGGAGAAAAAAATCAAGTCCGAATCAAAGGAAAAGGAAATCACTGACAGAAAACTGGAGGAGGTTAAAAGAGAGATGGAAGAAAAACGAGAGATTTGGGAGAAGGAAAGAAAAGAGTGGTGGGAAAAACAGCATCAAGAAGATGAACTGAGACGTCAGAAGGAGAGAGAGAAACTGAAGAAGCTTCAAGAAGAGTACAAACAGGAAATAGAAAAATATGAAAACAAAAGAAAAGAAGAAGATCGACTCAAAAGAGAACAAGAAGAGAAGGAGCGAAAAGAATTAGAGGAAAACTACAAGAAAGAAATGGGGAACATGAAAACGATTTATGAAGAGGAGGCCAGAAAACAAGCTGAAGAGTTCAATGAGTTCAGAGAAAAATATAATAAAGAACTCAAAACTCTGACGTTAAAACACGATGAGGAGCTGGAAGGTCTGAAGCATAAGCATAAAACAGATATGCAACAGAAACAGGATGAACACAGCAAAGAGTACAAGACATTAGAAGACCAAGAAAAGAAAAAAGAAGAAGAACTCAAAACTCTGACGTTAAAACACGATGAGGAGCTGGAAGGTCTGAAGCATAAGCATAAAACAGATATGCAACAGAAACAGGATGAACACAGCAAAGAGTACAAGACATTAGAAGACCAAGAAAAGAAAAAAGAAGAGGAAATCAAAACCCTGAAAGAAAAACAACAAAAAGAAATGGATGATTATCTTGACCTCAAGATGCTAAAATTCAAGAAGTGTACCATCAGCTGATGTTCTTCTTTGCTGTAACAATAAATATTGATATTACTAACTGATCGTTCTGTAACCCCAGCAGTATCTACAGGCCTCCGTCACAGTGCATCATGTAGCTGTGTTCACATTCTTGGTTTCTTTTTTATTTTACATGTTCTCCAGTTTGTTTGATTGTATGTTAGAAGGTTCTTAGCTTTATAAAGTAATAGCAAATAATATGATTCCACAATTATCAGCAGCTGAACGTAAAAAAAAAATTAATCTGCATGTTTTTTTCTGTATTTTGACCTTTTTTATTCACTCTCTCATTTTAAAGGTAGACTCTTTCATGACTAGGAAGTATTTTTTGTGGAGTTTGATTTCATTTTAATTCAGAGTTGCTGTTATGATATAATGACAGAAGCTGTAAACATTTCCATTAACAGTCACAATATCATGTCAAATTCTCATTTTCCATTTGTTGAAGAATTTCTGACATTTTGAATTTATTTGTGATATTTTATGTGTACTTGCAGTAAATTCTTTCCTTTGTGATTAATTCATTGCTGAAACTGTTAAATGTGCTAATCATAATAATAAAATCTAATGGTGAACAATATCAAACGTTTCTCTGAATGCTACATTAAAGCGCATTTTGCATAAATAAAATCTAAAAGGGGAAAAATAAATATTGGAATTGTTGCATTATCTCTCTCTACTACAAGTTTGAATTTTTCCATGTTTTTCATAAAGGTTTTTGCTTTTAAAGAATAGTATGGAAAACCTCAGGAGGCAGTGATGGAGGAATCACTCAGATCATTCAAGTGTATCTCCCTCTGTGATCCTGAGGGTGTCCATGCCTTCATCCTGGTCCTACCTGTGGATTGTTTGAGAGACGAAGACAAGGGAGAGTTAGAGACCATCCAGGACACATTCAGCTCTCGAGTCAATGACTTCACCATGATTCTGTTCACTGTGGACTCAGATCCTACAGATCCAGCTGTTGAAAATATATTAAGTATAGACAAAGACATCCAGAAGCTTCTTCAGACGTTCAGACAAAGACATGTGGTTCTCAACATCAAAGACAAACAGCAGATTACAAAGATGTTTGAGGTTGTGGACAAAATTAGTGATGCCACAAACAAACCACACTGTTATACAAAGACAACATTTCTACATGCACAGATGGACAAAGTCTTACAACAAGATAAATCCATACAGATGCAACATGATGAACTTGAGAAGCTGAAGACGAACATGATGACTTGTAAGTACTTCAGAATTTAATATTTTTCTGTGTTCAGTGACCCAAAGAGTTTTAATCCAGCAGTATTCAAGTGTTAACTCTGATTGTTTTCATGTTTTAGGTGATGAAGTTGAAGGAAAAGAGTCAGACTGTCTCAGGATTGTGCTGATTGGGAAGACCGGCTGTGGAAAGAGCTCTACAGGAAATACGATTTTAGGAAACGACAAGTTTATAGCTGCATCAAGTCAAATATCAGTCACACAATATTGTAAGAAGGCAGAGGGCGAGGTGGACGGTCGTCCTGTTGTTGTGGTCGACACTCCTGGTCTGTTTGACACAAGTTTGTCCAATGATGAAGTTCGGGAGGAGTTGGTGAAATGTATCAGCCAGCTGGCTCCAGGACCGCATGTCTTCTTGGTGGTGATAGGGGTTGGTAGATTCACAGCAGAGGAGAGAGAAACGATCAGGCTCACTAAAAGATTCTTTGGGAAGAACTCAGAAAAGTTCACCATCGTTCTTTTCACCAGAGGAGACGATCTGGAGCGTCAGGGAGAGTCTATTGATGATTACATCAAGAACAAATGTCATGATTCCTTTAAGAAGCTGATCTCTGACTGTGGAGGACGATACCATGTGTTCAATAACTCTGACAAGCAAAACCGCACACAAGTCAGTGAGCTGATAGCAAAGATTGACACCATGGTGAAGGACAATGGAGGAAGCTTCTACACCAACGAGATGCTGCAAGAGGCTGAAACTGCGATAAGGAAGGAAATGCAGAACATTTTAAAGGAGAAGGAAGACGAGATGCAGAAGGAAAAGGAAGAGATTGAAAGAAAACATAAGCAAGAAATGAAAGCAATGAAAAGAAGAATGGCAGAAGAGAGAGAAAAAATAGAAAACGAGAGAAAACAGAAAGCTGAAGAACTCGAGGAAATGAAGAACAAAATTGAGGAAGAACAAGAGAAGAAAAAAAAAGAAGAAGAAATGAGAGAAAAGGAGGAAAAGGAAAAGGACACTGGAGAAGAAAGATATCGACAACAATTCAAAGAAGAACTTGAAAAGTTGGACAGACAAATTCATTTGGAAAAAGAGGCAAAGGAAAGTGTCGACAGACAGCTGGAAGAGACCAGAGAAGAGATGCAACGAAAACAAGAAGCCTGGGAGAAAGAACGAAGAGAAGAGCGAGAGAAACAAAGACAAGAAGATGAAAAGAGACGACAGGAGGAGGAAGAAAGAATCGACAAACTGCTGGAAAGTTACAAACAAGAAAAAATAAAATACGAAAACAACAAATTACAAGAGGAACAAATAAGAAGAGAAATGGAAATAACAGAGAACAATCATCAGAAAACACTGGAGGACCTAAAGAAGAGCTATGAAAGAAAAGCCAGACAGAAAGCAGAAGAGTTCAACGAATCCCAAAAGAAACACATGGATGAATTAAATGCTCAGCGGGAAGAACACGTGAAGGAAATGAACGACTTAGTGAAACGTGTGACCAAGAAGAGCGAAAACCTGAGAAAGATCAAATATCTAGTGGAAAAACATGAAAAACAAATGAGGGATGCAAAAACTGAGGAGGACAAGGAAGAACTACAGGAAGAACATGAACAACAATTAAGTGAATTGATGCAAAAAATCTTAAGTAAGGAGGTCAGTGACGCGTCAGGCTGCAGCATTTTGTGACGAGAAATGAATGATTTCAGTTGTTTTTCTTTCATTTGTACTGGGAAAAAACGTTAAAGAAGCACCGATTTGTTGTTCTGCATGTTTTAAATGTTTGGGATTTCCTCACAACAGCAAATAATTCTGACTGGGTGTCATCGAACCTGCCTTAAACACAGTGTCGGACTCCAGTCTCACCATTAAACCACAAGTCACTATCCCAACATTACCAAAGCTTCTGACTGGTTAAACTAACTCCAAAGACTGAATAGGTATTCGTTACTAAAAGACTCACGTGGAACCAGCATGTTCCACTCTGTCTCAGCTCATTAATCTGCCACCTGGCAGAGTGGAAGCTATGGTCAGTGTTTTTCCAGCAAATAAATGTTTTTATCATAATTTACTTCAAAATAGAAACAGAGTATAAGTTGCAATGATGCAGGAAAAAGAAATTATTTTCAAATAAGTAAAGAACAGAACAGTTATCAGTGTGACTTTGTCATTCTAATGTTATCATTGTGTGTATGTTTGTGTGGGTGGGGGTATTAAATGTTTGATCACAAAGAAAGACGACACACATTTGGTGATCAGGTACCTTTATTCTTGTCTTTTTTTGAAGTTATGAATCAAATAATTTTTCCTGGGCTGAGCTCTTTAAGTACCAGGATGTTCATTTAAGTTGTTAGTTTTGCTCTGTACTGCACTGTAAGTTGAATCAGTCATTTTAATCTTTTCTGATTTGTTGTTTTCTGTAATGTTTGGTAAAAATCTGGAGAGTGTGTGATTTGATTTCTTGTATTTTATTGGGAATAGTTCTATTTTTATTGTGTTTATTTGTTTTGGGTTTTTTCATACATGTTGTGTAATCAGTAATTATCGAGTTTTATTATAAAATCTCTCATTATTTTTTATTAAATAGTCAGGTATATGACCGTAAAGTTTAGATATTATTTATGCCTCTGCAATATCTAATTATAACAACATTTACTCAATTATCATTGAACATAATCAGATACAGTAGATAATATTTGACTTTATTTTGATAAATGTCAAATATAAATTCTTTGCTTCATAATTAGTGACATAACGAAGAATAACAGTATTTTATGCATCTGTTGATTTTCCAAATACTGAGTGTTTCCCTGTGATTCGTGTGGATGGTACTTAAATGATGAAACAAAGCATCTTCATTCAAATTTTGATTTCATGTTTTCTTTAATTTCATTGAAGATCTTGTCAAATCAAACTGATCTTCCCAATCCCCACACCCACTCTGACACATGTGTTTTGCAGCAGTTTAATTTCTGTCTGTCAGCAGCATTAGCATGGAACGTAGTGCATTGCAGTTATCACAGATCCATAAAACTTTCGAATTTGTAACTGGTGCTATGGACTTGGTGGGAAATGTGCTTTCTGAGTGGATTTTTTTTTTCTTTTTTTGAACAGTTACAAAGCGAGTTTAAGACCTAAAATAATTCGAAATTGTTTGAATGTGTAGCTACATTTGCAGCCTGATGCTCTCAGTAATCAGCCTCAGTTTCTACAGTAATGATTCAACTCAGCACTAAATGCGTGAGCAGCTCTCCACTTAGTCTATGCTGGCAGTAGTGCTAGATGGTCACATAGAGGAAGCATTAAGGCTATGAGCTGTTCAATAGCAAGTTCTATATAACACATAGAGGTGGTGCAGGAATATCAATATAAACACTGACATTGACTTGAGCATGATATTTTAAATCTTTTTGAAACTATAATTTCATTCAGTGTCTTGATCTTCATCATATTTATGTGAGTCTTTGATTATTGCCAAAGTCCTTCTAGCAGCAAACCCCGCCACTTAGCAACCATCTTTAATCACCCCTGAACAATTTTTTAAAATATCAAAATCTATTTAAACACCAGGATGTTAAATCTGCAAATGCATTTCTCCCTTTAAAGTTCTACTTCTACCAGCTTTGCCATTCTTCCATACATTTCAATTAAGAATTTTTTTAGTGCCGTATTTCTGTCAGGAACCAGACGAGCTATATTGAGAAACCAGTTGTGATATTCCTGCTGCTGTAAAGATCAGTGAGTCCATTTAAACCTAAAAAAAAGAAAGAATTCATCAGATAATCATTGCAATTGTTCAATGAAACAAGCCGTAAAAATAGTGACTGTTCATTAAAGATCAAACACTGAGTTACAATAATTCACTCATTCTGTCATTTACTGAACAGAAACAGTGAGCAGTTACATGTGTGCTGCATTAGGCCCAATCATACTGAAAGAAATAATTCTTACAGACTGCTGAATACTTGATTTCTTGGCTATGACCATTTGTGCTGTGACACCTTTGTTAGGTATTTGTATAGCAATGACGAGGCTGGACAATGAGGAAGGCCAAAAATGGATTCCTTCATTGGTGTATTATAATATGAAACTTAACTCCCTTTGCATGTTTAACCTGATAACAGGTTGACCCTCCCCCAATTCAATTATCATTGCACTCTTTCTATCCTCACCTCTGCTTACACTATAGTCGGGAATATATTCCATTTAAGTCATTGACTTTCAAAAAATGCTCTAAAACTCTCTTGATTTAGAGAGTTGCTCTTAATTTGAGGATAGAACTAATTCACTGTTATCTCTCAAATGACTCTGTATATATTCACTAAATATATATAATGTTCTCTCCCTTTTGTACAGTTGAGGAGCGTGTCAGGGTACATTTCACTGCTTGTTATACTTGTATAACTATGCAAGTGACAAATAAAGAATCTTGAATATGAGTCTTGAATCTTGAATGTGCAACTTAAAGCAGTTAAGTGTCACCAGTTTAGAAGATCATCATTTCGCCTGGAAAAATAGTTGTTGCTTTATAAAAAAGCCCTGCATGAAGCTAGACCATCTTACTATTCATCACTCATTAAAGAAAATAAGAACAACCCTAAGTTTCTCTTCTGCAGCCAAGCTCGTAGTCTTTATGTCTTTAAGACATTCCTGCAGTTTAACTCATTGGTGTGTGTTATCTGGCTTCATGGACAGATAGAGCTGGGTGTCATCAGCATAGCAGTGTAAATGTATGCTATGTCTTCTAATGATGCTGCCTAAGGGAAGCATGTATAATGTAAACAGAATTGGTCCTAGCACTGAACCCTGTG